TGTGGCTTGGGGTTACCACTTTGTTAACCCCGAGCCACACTCGGGAATACCGGTGGATACGCGCGGAAAAAACGCCCCAAAGAAGCTCCTGTACTTGTTTGGGCGCAGGGCGTTTTTCTCCAAAATATTTCTTTATTAGTTTTTCAAATTTCACATATCATGCAAATACAAATAACAAACAGAATTCATTCCCTGACACTTGACGTAATACATATATTCAGAAACATCTCAGTTGTTTTGTGTAGTTTCCTCTACATTCATACTTCCATTTAACATATAAGTAACGCGTAGCGCTACAACCCTAACACCCTTTCTCCCTCCCCCCCAGACCAGACATTCCCACACATGCAAAGAGGTATTGTAGATATAGTTAATCGTTTGGTTAAAAAAAACGGAAAAAAAAAAAGTCAAAAAAAAAGAAAGGAAATATCAAATCAAATTAAATATCAAATCGAAATAGGAATAAACCAGCGGCAGACTTATTCGAGATTGACCCCTATAAATATCTGAGAATCTCTTGTGAGCTCATGTAATCCCTCCATGGGCTCCACCTCTCTCCAAATATCGTGTGTCTATTATATGAGCGGGCTATGAGCTCTTCAGATCGCATCACGTTATTTAGTTCTTCCACCCATTCCCATATCTGGGGAGAGCTGGTTGACTTCCAATGTCTGGGTATTACTGCCCTTGCAGCTGCCAAGATCGGGCCTAATAGGCTTTTTTTCATTACAGCGGATGAGCCATGGTGTAGAGACAACAGAGCCACCTCAGGTGTCTCCAAACCATGGAGTCCCGTTAGCTCTTGCGCTATATCCAAAATTGATTTCCAGTAAGATCTTATCGTATAGTACTACGCTGTATTCCCGAGTGTGGCTCGGGGTTACCACTTTGTTAACCCCGAGCCACACTCGGGAATACCAGTGGATACGCGCGGAAAAAACACCCCGAAGAAGCTCCTGTACTTGTTTGAGCGCAGGGCGTTTTTCAGTGTGTTTCCACGGGCTGAAATACGCCCAGGTGGGAACCGTCCCCATAGGAAAATATGGGATTTCACTGTTTGAGCGTTTTTCAGCACTTCGATCAGTGCAGAAAAACGCCCAGGTGTGAACCAGCACTAAAGCTGAACTCCAGGCAGATATAAAGGCTGCACTACTGTGTTCAAAAGTATCCTTAAATATAAATGAGAATAACCCCCTTCAAAAGGTGAGAGGACTTCTGTGTGTCTTTCTTGGCTGGCCTGTTGGGCTTTAATGGCATTTGCAGTATGACATTCATTTATGAGAGGCACACACAGGAACTAGTGTTTCCTAAGGTAGGAAGCCATTTCTTATAAGTGTTCTAATGATGTAGTGTTAAAATGTAATATGGTATCCAGGAGCATTTATACATTATCCTGAGACAAAACAAGAAGTGCTGCAGTACCTTCCCTGGTGGTAAAGCTCAACTCTGGACTAAACATATGTTGTTTTGGTTCTGGTTAGAATTGGGGGGGAGGGGGGTATGCCAGACTTTTATAGCCATCTTTGCTCCTCTACAGAGATAAAGGTGTACAGTTCAGAGATGCTGATTCTAAGGGTAAGGGGGTTATTCACTAATGAGTCAAAGGATCCAACCGTAGCTTCGACCAAAGGCAGCCTAAGGCAGCTGATGTACGGCTGATTTTAGCAGATGTATGGCTGAAATCAGCC